TATATATATATATATATATATACTGTATATGTACTGTATATAAACAAAAAAATGTGAAGAACTCAGCATATAGGAAAAAGGGTAAGAGCAACAGCAGAATCCAGAGAGGACCAATGACAACCAGGGAGGTTGAATGCTTTGGAGATGTAATGAAAAGTTTGGAGCAAGGCTAATAACAGGAGGAGAGACTAATATAGGATCAGAGACAGGGATAGTTGAAGAGAACAAGTCCAATCTAATGTAGAAAGCCAGTTACAAAAATACGAAATAATAATAATAAAAACAATGCCCAAAACACAGAACTCAGTCAAAAGTAATTGCAATGTTTCTGGGATCATGACATTAAAGTTGATGATGCAAGGGTGACCAGTTTTCTCCAACTGCATAGATAAGAAATATTTGGATATCACTTCTCCAACTGCTGCTGTGCGCTGCAGGCCTGCTGGCTTAAAGCAGTTTAGCCTGCCAAAACAACATAAAGACTGACATGAGTATCCTTTTCTGTTTTGAATATAAGCAGTCAGATCAGGCTATTCATCTTTTTATTGATTGATTCTTAATACCAAGATAGACAACTATTTATCTATGACAACATTTCACAATTACTTTGACTTCTTTCCAAATATATAATTTTAGCCAAATTATTATTCCATGTGATCCTTATACTAAGGAACAGTGGTGTATGCGGGTCTGATGAAAGGGTACACAGGAGATAGAGAGAGTATGGGCAGCCTGGTGCTTGCTGAGTTAGTGGGTGGGAATGCCTTCTGCTACTTTTTACTTCCAGGTCACCTACTGTGCAATCTTAGAAACTTCAACCATCTCTTTTTCTTTACAAGTATGATAGATTGTATGTCAATAAGGTATAAAAAACAAAACTCTAAATTGAATTCACCAAGAGGCACCATTATACCCAACAGTGAATATTAATCCATTTCAAAGGTTTAATCTGGTTACTGTAAGCCAATATGCTACATTTGATTTATTCCTTTTGTAATTCAGGTAATGAATTGCCTCACAGTATCACTTTTACTTAAGCATTTCCAGGCTCATTGTTGACTATGTTTACAGTGACAACTGAACAAATAACATTTTAAATATATACAGTGCAAGCTTCAATTTATCAGGTTTAAATTTAGCCCTGCCTTTGTCAGAAATTAGATTTTGGACACAATTTTTCAACTAACTTAATTCAGGATAAGGAATGAAAAAGAAAGACAAAACACTTGTTTTCTCTATTTTATACACTTAATAGTTTTTTTTATATATATTTTGCTTGATTTGAGTTTTCGCTCATAAAGGGATAATTTCCTTCAAACTTTCGGAAATCCTCAGTAATTAATCATTTTTTCCCCAGTATACAACAGCTATCCAACAACATCTCAATATTAAAATAAAAGTAGCAGTTTTTGTTATGTATTTTTGTAAAGCACAGGGTTTGACCAAATGTCTTCACATAATGCAGGGTTTTACCAAGCTAGTTTATTGCCCAGTGAATATATAAGAAAGGATAAGAATAAATGAACAAATATCAGACAAAAAAATTTAAATGGATTTTGAAGACTCAAACATTTACTTTCTTTCAAACTAATAGTAAAAAAATTCAGCAAATACATTACACAAGGGGTGTATTCTCCCTGGATATAGCTTATTTTTATGACAAACATATATTTCTTAAAGTTATTTTTCAAAATTTTACAGAAGGAAATACAATACTGTAAGGGGAAAAAAACCAACCTCCATAGAAAATGTAATTAGTTGGGTTTTTTTTTAAACATGAATCTAGTCTTCAATTTAAGGTTCATGTTTGACTCTTTTGGTCAAGGGTAGATGGCTAATAAGCAATGCATTTCCTTGTAAATACTCAGGAACCAAAATGGAAAAGATAGGACAGAAAATGTATTAAAAAGCAGACAATCTTCAGACAAAAAAAAAAATGAATGAGAGTACAGGACATTTCGAATACCTTGGAGTCACATAGTCTAAATAACATGGAGACATTTTATAGCAACATGTCATCATCCAAACAATCTATTGTCAACAAAACATGATTATTGAACTAAAAAAAATGACCAAACAAATTAAAAATACAAAGGAGATAAAGAAACCAAATTTTCCCCCAGTATGGGCTGCATGCTTACGCAGCCGTTAGCACTGTTGCCTTGCAGAAAGAAGCCTTGAGTCTTTAATATATAAATACATGGATTGTGTCCTGTCATATTAACATACCAGCATACTGCTCTACAGCCGGTTCAAGCAAACTCAAGTAATGATTTTGTAACCAGTGTTCTTCTCTCCCTGATTTTATTGCTGAGGTCAAGATGCAGATAAGCAATTAGCTGCAATAATTAATTGTTCTGGGTGTTTTAATGCTGTTTATTGGGAGCAGCAACACATATATGATTGTATATTTGTATGCAGGAGTCGGTACCAAAATTTGGAAGAAATTTTGTAATAAACAATTTGTTGCATTTCTAAATGTTGATGCAACTGAATAGTTATCCTGAATATAACTTTATGTTTGTTGTTAGTGTTCTAACTGGATCAGTTGGGAATTTACTAACATCTGTCAGGAGACACTTCACATAAAAGACTTTGACTGCAGTATTGACAGCTCCCAGCTGTAGTTGAGTGTATCATAAGCCATCTATTTTAATGAATGGGAAGCAAGAGACGTTGCTCATCAGGCTGCTCCTAAAATAAATGAAATAATCCTGATAATTGTTGCAGAACCCAGTACGCAGGGGACTGATTTGTGTTTCAATTAACATTAAAGGTCTCTACATGCATTTTCGTTTTTTCATTGCATGGGTACAATCTCAGCCCTGCGGGGGGAGAGCCGCTCTAACTGAATCACCCAGGGATGGAGTCTTACATAACTAGTCGTATAATGTCAATGGAAGACGCATGTAAAAGAAGCATGCATTACGCGGATAAAGGAGCATGCATCAGTTCATAGAGGACATGGTTTAAAGCATTAGTTCATAGTGAAATTAAGAGGAGAACTTTAAAATTATGTTGACCTACAGGAAATACACGGCAAATAATCAGTGCGCTTCAGTTTATGCTTTAACTGTTTTAATTCTTAGATAAAAGTATAACTACAGCTAAAATAAAACCGTGCAGTTTTTCTATAAATTATTCCTTATTGCGGTTCACTCCCACGGCCGCGGTTTGTCTGCCTGAGTCATGAGCGCGCCTATGTGCCGGTTGCGCGCATCAGTCATGCCTCATCCATCGCGCGCCTCGCTTGCGTCGCAGGGTAAAGGAGAAATTTAGTCTTTTATTCTCCAATTATCCCATCGGCGCCCGCTTCTTCTCCTCTCAGCGCATTTTTTTTTTTAAACAAATAGAAACCGGCATTTTTCTTTGAGTAAACAAACCAAACGCTCAATGATCTTTTATCTCTTTCCACCCTTGAATGAAACAAAAAGAGGTGCAAGACGAGGAGTAAACTGCTCCAGCTGCGGTGCTGTGGTGTGTTTCTTTTATCTTTGTAGGTCATTCCCTTAACTTGATGCTGTTGACGCTCCCTTCACTGTTTACAGCTTGAGGATTTAAATGCGGGGAATCAACTTAAACTTGAACTGACTGAAATGGGCAACCGCCTTTCATTCTCGGGCAAAAAGATAGAATAATGAACCGCTAGGAATCTGAGCATCCTGTGAAAAAAAAAAAGGTAAGATTAGACTCTGGAAGCTTATTATATTAATACCACAGTAAATGGTGATTAGATGGTGATGCATGTTTGATGTTAAATAAACAAAAATAACGAGGGTCTATAGATGGTGCTCTGCAGCAAACAAAGCTATGCTGATCGAGGGAAAGAAAATATGAATGCAAATGTTTGAATCATAATGTCTGACCTATATCAAATGGCATCAGAGACCATTCTGGATGGAGAAGTGGCCTGATTAAAAGATGAATCAAATGCAATATAGTTTAGTTACGGGCCAGGGTAGCTTAATTAAATGAGGATGGTCAGCCACAATAAATGTATGTGCAGTAAGACTGGTAATTACATAGAGCACGCTGGGTATTGACAGAACACCCACAATAAAAGAGACATGTAACCTAGATACGTTGGTGTACCTATTGACTAAACTGGCAGTATGGAAAAAAAGGTCTGTTGAATGTATTAGAGATCATATTATTTTATTATTCATGTAGAAACTTTATTTTACAAATGTTTTTTTTCTCAGTGCTATTCAATACCATACAAAAAGGCATTTTCTATATTTACCTTTTATCATATATGTTGAAGAGGTTGGTACAGAGTATATATGTTAATTATTTTGCATTTTAGGAAGTTTCAAGTTGAATTTTAGTGGAGCTGGTACCAAGTTTCAAAGATGACATCATGCTTTATAAGCATGTGGAATAAGCATAGTTAATTCGTCAGTATTTCCTGATGTACAATGGCTCTCCAAGGAGTGCATACACAACTGGATATCTTATATCATGTTAAAAATGAGACCAAATTAATATAAAGCTATCTCACATGATTTGACCTATATTCATGATTATAACCTTGTTACAAAAGTATTCACATCCTTATGTTTTTAGTTGAAATACATTTGAAATTTAGTTCAGCATTTAATTTTCTTTTGTAGAAGTTTGTGTATATGACAGCTATCTATCAAAAGATAATAAAACAACCTCAATAGATTATAAAAAAACTTGATATTGTGGAAATTTAAAGTAAAAAAATTATTCATACCTTTTTCAATAATCTAAAACTGAAAAAGAACTGAAAAAACAGACACTTTTATAGTCTTACTTCCATTGGATGCCTCTTATAAAAGCTGAGAAACGTTTTCTTCCATGTTTCCACTCGTATCTTAAATCATGCATCTTTCCCAACAACCGCTGAGCCTTTGAGCCCGGAGAGTCTCTTTACCATCACCATAATCATTAGCCCCCACCACATATTCTCTATCAGCTTCAAGTGGAGATTCTAACTGTGACTGGGCCATTCCAAAATACCAATATTACTTCAAGTAAGAAGACCCATTGGAACATAAAGATGTCATGAGTATCACACATTTTGAGTTTTTATAGTCACACATAACCAGCCCTTAACAGAACCAAAAATAAAATTGTTCCTGCAGTTGGTGTGGAGGCATCATGATCTCGTCGTTGCGTTTGTATTGATGGATCTGGAGTTTTTGTCAATTTGTACAAATACAAACAGCTCCAAATACAAGTCATCATCATATTAAGTTAATCATAGATCCAAATGTACAGATTATGACAGTAATATAAAAGTTTTGAAGTGGCTAAGAGCCTACAGTATTAACGAATCTTACAATGAATGTGGGGTGAATCTAGCAGGAGTACAGACAAGGGATGTATTTACGATCTGATAAATTTGGTAGAGGGGACAAAAATAATCGGTGATGAGGGCTGTGAAAAGACTTGAACAAATACAAAAAATGGATTAGATCAATCATATTATATATGTAAACTGTTTAGAAATTATGTATCACAGTTTCCTGATTTTACGCAGCAAAAACTGGACATCTAACTGGTGTTTACACTTATAAGGCTACTGTATTTAGCTGTTACTGATGCAGTTTATTTTATATATAAGATTTAGCACAGTTTCTACCACTGGATAGAGGAAAGAGAGGGTAAGGAGCAGTTTAAGAACAAAGCTGCCATGGAAGCCGATGACCACTGTTGAGGACAATAGAGCTGAAGCCTGTGTGTGACAGTTTTTGCTACACCACAAAGCCTTACTCCTGATCTCAATGTTTTGCAGGGCAAGTGTGACATTTTGTTTCTCGCACATTCAGCTCTGTCATTTTGTGACCATGTTAGGCTGTGTTCACACTAGATGCACATTTACCAACAGAAAATTGACTGTCTTCATCTGGCAGCTTGATGTAATGTTGTAACAGTAGCATTAAAGAACATGGTTAAATATTACCCCACCTTAAAGAGTTTCTACTTCTTTTTTATTTTTTTAAAGCAAACTTGGACAACATTTTTGGTAACCCTAAAGAAAGAAAGGGAAACTCACAATTATTACTGAAATAACTTAAATCAGACAAATGTAATAATAGTTTTAAATTCTATAAAAATAATCAGATGAAAGTCAGACACTGCTTTCCAACCATGCTTCAACAGAATGATACAAAATTAACTCACAAAACAGGCCTAGACAAAAAAGATGATACCTTGAAGTTAATATTTTGTTGCACAACCTTTTGAATCAAATCAAATGATTCCAATCCAATCAAATGATTCCTGTAACTGTCGATACCACTTCTGCAACTCTCAGCAGGTATTTTGTCCCACTCCTCATGAGCAAACTGCTCCAGTTGTCTCAGGTGTGAGGGACGCCCTTTCCAGATGGCAAGTTTCAGCTCCTTCCAAAGATGCTCAATAGGGTTTAGGTCATGGCTCATAGAAAGCCATTTCTTTACACGCTTCACCCAAAGTGGGGATTGCGAGGGGTGCTGGTGCCTATCTCCAGCAGTCAATGGGCGAGAGGTGGGGTACACCCCGGACAGATTGTCAGTCCATCTCAGGGCAACACAGAGACAAACAGGACAAACAACCATTCATGCAGTCACTCACACCTAAGGAGAATTTCAGTCATTTTTGGCTAAAAATTTTCAGTCGCCGAATATTGCGATGCACCCCTACCTGTGATGCTAATTAGTGAACACACCTGTTGTTTTAACAGTCACACTATTTGCAGTCTTTTCTAGAGGAACCATCATTTCTGTCCAGGTTTGTTTCATGAGTTTTTGTCAACAACAATAAAAAAAACAATAACACTAATAACATGTACATCCAGGAGTTAAACCTGCAACTCAGTGACTTGACGCAGTCAGCTAGGTTTTCTTAGTTAGAACTTTTTATCCTATTTTACTGATAATCTAAACTTAAATGTATATGATCCAAGTTTATATACAGTAATGTAACTGACTTTTTTTTTTGTTTTTGTTAGGTGCCTTGAGGAAATATTTTTTTTGAATTGACACTATATAAATAAACTCAATTGAATTGAATCACATGAATAGTTTTTCTTACACTTTATAGAAATGCACAAATTTTTGTCCTTCTATAACATCGTTCTTGCATTTATTCAGACTTAATGCTTTGTTTGTTTTTGTAACCTGAAAAGATGTTAATACAGTCAAGGGAAATTGATATTTTAAGATTAGTAACTGCATCTCATCCAGATTAAATGTCAGTATTTGGGCAATGCAGTGTAATGTTTTTGGATACACTTGAGGTAACTTTTCATAAACAGGAAAAGAGCTTCAAAGGTTGCATTTGTAATGGAAAATTCCGCCGTTGCTTTATAACAAGTTTGTGGTTAGAGATGCTCTCTTATTTTTATTTTTTTTATCCCTGTAGACATGAGACCTGGTGAATTCTGGCTCCTAAATTTGAACCACTGTTTACCTATTAATAATGCTAAAGTATATTCAATTTACTGATGGTATAAACAGTGTTTTTCAAAGGAAATACTGCATGTTTTGCATCATTTTCATAATGATAGCTTTCTGGACCTCACATTGTGTTTCTTGGCTCTGAAAGGGGATGGTTAATGGGAGCAACAAGTTCAAATAGGGTTGGGTGTTTACATAAAGTTGTTTCTAAATTACTGCTCTTGGTCTGTTATGCAGCTTTTCTAATAACCTTGATAATGCCTGGCATACAATAACCTTTACAGGTTATGATAAAAATATCAGAAGTCTAAACTACATATAAATCAGAAAGTTGCATTTCCAGATATAGCAACAACTCATAATTTGAAGCAGGATTTGTTTTTTTTTTTTAGAAATGCCTCAGGATTACGTCATTAGGTGAATTAATCCCACTTCCTTCAGAGGCTTTAACTCTTTTGTCCTCCCTGTACTTACTGTAGGTAGAGCAACCATTTTCAGTGTTTCTGACTTATAAATAAATACAGATATGTTCCAAGTTTACAGCATTATTTGAATTATACAAAACACCATTATCTTTATGTAACAGAAGAAATAGTACACACTGCTAACAATGCTTTCAGAGTGAGGTGAGGTTAAATTTACAGTATCAAAGCTTACTGATGCTACATCAAAATATAACTCTATATATGAGCTCAACTGTCTTAAACTGTACCTGCACAAAACAAACTAAACTTGTTCAAACAAATTCTAAAGTTCTGGGGCTAAGGACATAACTTGGCATGATAAACTAAGTCACAACAGTATTATATAAAAAGGTATGACATTAAACATATGCAGCTCTTATAACTTTCATATGTATTTTTTTGCTTACTTTAAGAAGACAAAAGCTTTTTGTTGTCAGTAAACAATGCTGTCACTTCAGCACATTGTTAGGGTGGTTCAAATTGTATCTGTGATATCTAAAACTTGGTTGAATGTAAGTTAAATTGCCTGAGCTAGCTTTTTTTTTTATTTATTTAGCAAATTGTTTAGATATTTAACTATTTCTGAGTACTCCATGAAAATGTGGTTGTGGTTATGTAGAGATTTTAAACTGACAATATTATGACTAAAGTAACATTTAAAATGTACAATTTTTATATAGAATTATTTCCTGTTTTGCTATTCTACTGTATGACTCAGACATAAAGAGTAAATTAGAAGCATCAAACTGTGCACCCAGGTTTTATTGAGACCTCTGTCATTTATTTGCCTTTTACCTGATTTAGTA